GGGGGAACCTAAGTCCTAACAAGACATTGTCATACTATTTTCAGCTGAGAGTGTTTGCTCATAATCAGAACAGAGTGCTGAGAGGGGACAGATATTTATGGAAATGAACTTCGGAGATACGTGCTACGGTTTTATGGTTTTAAAACGACGAATGTATGCATTGCATTAGATGCTTTTGCCTACTGCATAACTTAAACTGCAGAGTTGATACTGGTTAGAGAAATTAAAGAAAGGGATCTAAGAAGCTAGAATCTTCCAGAAATTACAAGATATTACCAGAATCTAACAAAAACTTCCTGCTTCCAGCAGTCAACAAGTATTTCCAATGTAAATAAGATAATAATAAGTAGCCATCCGGTGGTATTCTGTTTGTACAATCTTTAACGGTCAAATAAATAATTAAATTACTAGCTTATTAAAATGGTAGGAGTTTAACGGATGATTGGGCATTCTTAAATTAGTTTTTTAACACAAAAACCAACCTTAAAAAAATAAATGCGATTAGCAGGCAGGACTATGGAGTACTCTGGTATGGTGTGCTTCTTCTTTCCTATCAGATTTTTACCGTCCTTATCTCTCCTCCGTCTTCTCTGTGCATGTTCCTCTCTTGTAACACCTTCTTTATGCGGCCTAATTAAGTTTCAAGTGCCGTAAAATTCTAATAAAAACATAAAAATAGATGCGCGCACATAACACGCCGAGACATTTTGGTGTGTTTAAGTAATGTGAAGAACATCAACATAATAATGGTCATTTAGTGCTGGGAAAAAGTAAGACAGACAGACAGAAACAACATGGGAAAAGTAAAGAAGTAGTACCTAACAGTGGCGTCCTCCAAACAACCGCCCGCCGGGTCGTGACGTCTTCCAAAGTCAAGTCCAATTGGGTTACGTATTTTCCAGTGGAATTTAGTCGGTGCTGACGTAACAGCATTTAAATCGAACTTTTCAACTTCGATTAATCCAGTTCGTGAGCACATATCGAAAGTCATGAACCATGCTTGCTACTTCTATCAGTAGTCCTTTCTATTTCAACCAGGAGCACTCTCTACTCAAAGTCATTTTAGATTTTCCGCAACATATCGGGGACCACCTCGAGGAGGATAAATTCGTAAAACTTACAAGGTAAAGACTCGAAACTGTGTGGTGGTCAATCTGTAACACCGGTAGACGTTTTCTCAGAATGTTCGACAACATCTACACGAGTTGTAACCTATGTACTTACCGTTGTATCTATCTATCTATCTATCTATCCATCTATCTATCTATCTATCTATCTATTTATCTATCTATCTATCTAACTGTCTATCTATCTATCTATCTATCTATCTATCTATCTATCTATCTATCTATCTTAAAGGATACATCACACAGACTGATCAGGGTGATGCTGCATCATGCGGGACGAGGGATATGACAACATCATCACAATAGACTTCGTCAAATCTGTGCTAAAAACCAACAACAACACAACGCCAGGTCCAGATGGCATACAGTACAAACACTTTAATGAGCTCAGTGACAAGAAACTGGAAACAATTGTGGATGACTACAACAGCAGCATAAGGACATCGCCTGTACCAGAAGAGTGGCTGCACAGTTATTTAAAGCCACTACCAAAACCTGGCTAGAATCACAAAGAACTCAACGCATTATCACAATTCGAAAGGTGTATGGAAAAGTGCTAGAAAAATGCATAGCAATAGTACTTGAATGAGCGAGCTAGAGAACAACGGGAATCTACCTAAGGAGTTAGGAAGTTACAGACCCAGGAAGGAAACTTGGAACAACGCAGGGACCTTCGAGTATGATGTATATGAAGGCTTTCAGAGAGGAGAAGAGACCGTGGCAATAGCATTAGATCTGTAAGATGCTTACAATCAGGTAAATTATGAGAGGCTAATGTGTGCTCTGCTAGATTGTGACGTGAATCCTTGGATTGTTGGGTGGATTGCGGGGGCTATGCTAGGAAGAAAAGTGGCTTTGCGATGTGGTCTATGTATTTCAAGCCCACAGGTGATAAGACCAGGACTCCCACCAGGATCACCTTTATCTCCCATACTGTTCAATGTCCACATTGCTCGTATTGCAACGCTGAACAGCGTTGGACCAGGGAGAATACTAACATTTGCAGATGATATCTTGGCCTACAGGCAAGGACGGGATCGGCAGAAAATAACACATGAATTACAGCAAGAGGTTGCGAAAATCATGGAGTGGTGTGCTGAAGCTACCGCAGTGATCAATCCTCAGAAGGCCGTAGCACTGGGGTGCTCTTTAAACAATTGAATAGTAGAGGCAGATGTCCGAGAGTTGATGGTAAATGGACAGAATATTCAAAGAAGTCAGAATTTGCAGTATCTGGGAGTGGTTTTCGATTGCTGTCTATCCTTCAAAGATCACATTGATGGTGTTTTGGAAAGGGAAAAGAAAGGCTTGAATGTAGTGAAGGTCATGGCGGCTTGATGAATGGAGTAAGGTTACTGCTTCTTATGTATCAGCAGCTGGTCTTAGCAGTAATCGATTTTGGGCTAGGAGTATTGACCTTGACAAAAACCCAACTCGACAAGTTGGATCGAGTTCAAAATGAAGCCATGCGCATCATACTAGGCTGCACCAGGGATACGCCAACTATCTGTATGAGGCATGTATTGGGCCTCATGTCAGTGGAAAACAGACACAAAGTGGCTCAGGTCAGGGCGTACATGAGGGTGGTGTCTCATAAGCAACACCCACTTCACGCTTGAAGCCATTGGAGCAATCAAGGGAAATCGCCTAAAACGTGGAGCTTCTTGGATGGCAGAAGCTGAAGACACCATCAAGGAAGTCTGCCCACTGGAAGATATAAAGCAGGGTGAAGAATGGATAAAGATGAATGAGAGACAGCAGGGAGATTTTGGGAAGGTAGTGATTACGCTGAACAGAGAATGTAGAGAGTGGCCGCAGGGTGCGACAGATGCTGAGATACGACAACTGATTGAAGACAACTCACGGCATGGAGATGTGGTTCTATACACGGAAGAATCTGTTAAACTAGGGTAAAAATCTGGATGGGGCTTCTTAGCAAGAGTGAGTGGCAGATTGGTGCAGGAACAGCAGAGAGCATACGATAATATGACAACATCTAGTATGAGAATAGAGATAGAGACAATCACTCAGGCTCTCAAATGGGTCACAACATCTCGACAAGCACATGGGATCTTTGTCACAGACACTTAGAGCACTCTGAAGAAGATTAAAAGTGGGAACCTTAGAGCTGAATGGACAGAGCTCCTGAAGAAGACGACACTGAAAACGATCACGTGGATCTTCACCCCGGGACATGCTGGAGTCAAGGGCAATGAGCGGGCTGATGAGCTCGCTGGGAAAGCAAACCTGAAGGAAAGCTGTGCCCTGACAAACCTGAAATTGTACGTTCAGTCAGAAAAAGAACAAGAAGAGTCGGAATACCATCATCTTGAGCGACTTCGTGAGCTTGGGGTTGGATGGGGCGCCTGCAGAAGTTCAAGACTTAATGGGAGGAGCAGAAGGCTAGGGAATCAAACATTGCATGGAACCGTCAGCATCTACACAGTTCGAGATGTGCTTTTTCTGGGGACGGAGCGCTTATGGGGATCCCCTTGTGCAGTGTCGTCGGTCCTTCACAAAAGTAACAAGTAACAACTATCTATCTATCTATCTATCTATCTATCTATCTATCTATCTATCTATCTATCTATCGATCGATCGATCGATCGAACTTCACTGACTCACTATCAGTCTTGAAAGCATTACCATCATCTCAACAAAGACGTGACACTTATACTGTTTGGCTCCCATCACCTGATAACATCCTGTGGCGTTAACCTGGAGATGCAGTAGATTTCCGGACACTCAAACAATACCTGGAAATGACAGAGCAGACACCTTCGTCAAAAGGGGATCTAGAAAGGAACAACCCAACATTCCAACATCATACAACACTGCAAAACAAATCATTAGAAACAACAGCAAACAAGATTGAAAAAACAGATGGGCCTTGGGAAAGACAGGCAGAGCAGTTTTCAAACATATGACTACAACAAAACGAAATGACAATATCAACCACCTTCAGAGAAAGAAACAGAACACGATCTTCCACCCACGAACAGAACATATACAGCTCAACTTTCACTAGAACAGAATAAAACCAGAACTTCCCCCAATGTGTCCTTTGTGTGAATATGCATATGAGACAGAGGAACATCACCTTTTCGACATCAGAGGTACACTTTTCCCTCCGAGACCTAACTTTGACAACACACTCTACGGAACATTACAGCAACTGCAACAAACCTGCACTTATCACTACATTGCATTGAAAAGAAGGACGAGAGCCCAGCTGTAGCTGGATCGATAACAACAACAAAAACAACTAGCTATCTATCTATCTATCTATCTATCTATCTATCTATCTATCTATCTATCTATCTATTACAACTAACAAATAGAAACCAGACACACGAAAACTTAATTATAAGACAGCAAGATGGGGACAACAAAAAAAATGAAACAGAAAATAAACCACAACACAATCAGACATTAGATAACCGCAAATCCCCGTGACCGTCACAGCAAAGACCATACCAGACACACAAGACTGTTGACTTAGATCCGCCATCAGCTACTACTGTCCCTCCAGTAATTACATTCTTTTTTCCCCTTTAAAGGTCTTATTTTTCTTTTCTTTTCTTTCTGTTCTTTTCAGCACGTGGCTTATTTCTCAACTTCTGAGTCTTTCCAGTGGACCCGTTTGGTTTGTCGGCTTTGTTTAAAATTTTAGTAAGAATTTTAAGACACCTGAAGATTGGTCTAAATGTCGAACAATATTAACGGTGTTAAAAGAAGGAGCAATAAGGATAATAGAAGTTTGACAGAAAAAAGGAGCAAACAACACTAAACCACCCACCAATCTCCCACAGACTCATTGGTGTATTTTGAAGAGAAGTCAAAGATAGATAGGCTTATTAATTGATTGGCTTACCGACTGATTGATTGATTGATTGATTTTTCAAAAATTGAAGCCGCAGAAAGAGATCAACAAAATTATAGACTCAAAAAGGACAAACGAAGAGAAAGCCAGTCAACGCGGGAATGCCAATTATACAAACATCAGACAACCAAAATCAGAAATAACCCTGAAGGGAAGAGCCAAGATCTCTCACCCTCACCCCGACACACAAAACTGATGACGCAAAAACTCTCGTGACGTACTACCCTTCCCTAAAACTATTTTTATTTTGTTCATGTGTTAGAAATCTTTTTTTCCCCCTCTCTTAGAAGGTTTGATTTTTGTTCAACCGACTGTTCGTTTATGTCCCTTTGAGATGTCCCGATTTGGCGGTTCCTGTAGTTCGGGAAGAAATCGTTGAGGGGCTGAGGTTAGGGTCTAGAAATCTGGGAGGCTGGCGTTCACTGCGGAATTGCATTTTTTGTAAGTGAAAAAAAGAACGGATCGTTAGGAAACGAAAGGAGATTGGGGGGAGACATTTTGAAATGAAAAAGATAAATAAAACAGCAAAATGGGATGGATGAAGTGTGTGAAAGGCTAAGAAAATATTGGCAGATTCAAGAGAGACAGACAGACAGACAGACAGACAGACAGACAGACAGACAGACAGACAGACAGACAGACAGACAGAGAGCATGTG